ATGGGAGGGCTTTCCTGACAAGTGGATCGGCACGTGCAGAGGTGGGTGTGGCATTGAGCATAGATGCAGGTTGTTCTGGGGAAGAGAGAGGTTATATTAGGGGTCAGTGAGGTCCAGAAGTGGGGTTTTAAGAAATGGGGAGGTTTTAGCAATGGATTTCACTGGTTGCTGTGGGCGACACATTGAAAAGGAGTAGTGCTGAGAACCAGGGAGTCTGCAAGAGGTGAGGCCTGGATAGAGGTGTGGCCATGGAGATCCAAAGGAGGGGTTGCCCACTGGGCACTTTACAAGAGAGGAGTGGAATGAAGTTCTTATAAGGACTCCCTTCCACCCTCCATCTGAGCAGGTCCCTTAGTTCTAGGAAGGAGGATGGTGGTGGTGGTGCTTTTTATTGAGTGACTAGTGCTTGGGCTGGGTTCTTGACACACCTGGTTCCTAGTTCTCAATATAGCCTGAGAGAAAGGTATTTTTGTTCTCAATTTACAGATGTGAATGTTCAAGCTGAAAAGAGGGAAATGTCTTAGCCGGGGGCAGAGTCAAAATGGGAACCTGTTTTACTCTTTTTATTATATTGGGTGGCCAAGCCAATGCCCATTCACTCTGGAAGCACTGATTGTGGTGCCTTGCCTTGGAGCTCACAGGTTGAGTGGAGACTGGGCACCTGATGGGATGGGATGGGGTCTGATTCTGCCATTGCAAGCCTTGTGAACTTGGGCCAGTCATTTCATACCTGAGACTCTGTTTCTCCATCTGTAAGATGAGTAGGGAAACTCCTGTAGGGGGTGCAGGTCAGTCATGAGGGTTCAGTCATTGTTAGGTTTCTTGCAAGCACCGTTCTTGGCCGGAATCTATGGTTCTTGCAATGGGTGTAGCTTGAGAAGTCAGCTGCCAGGATGGCGTTGGGGTCAGAAAAGCTGCCACCTGAAGGAAACCCTCCCATCACTGCAGGGGTCCCTTTGGATGGGAATTCCTCTTCTCTAACTCCAGGCCTGATGGGAGAGTGGTTGCATTTTCCTTTTGGTCTGGAGTTTTGTTCCTTTCCTGGATCCTAAAGGGCCAGCAGACTCTTAGGATTGTTTGCAATGGTGTGTTCTCAAGGATTTAAGGGCCATTGTTTAGAGCTAGGCTTTATGAGTGTAAGACCAAGCATCAAAGTGTCTGGCAAGTAGAAGAGGGGACATGGATTGCCTTGGGTTGGTTCTACTGTGCTCTGGAGGTTAACTACCACTGCCAGGCACAGAAGAGACTGGGGGAGACTCCTGCAGTCAAAAGTGGATCCTCATTCCCTTCCTCTGATCATGTGAATTGCTGATGTTAAAAAAAGGCTTACTGTAAAAAATAAAAGTAAAATGTGAAAGTATCTGCCCAACACAGTTGCTCTCATGTACATTCATTCCTCTTCCCACCTTTCTGCATTCGTTTCTGTTCCTGTGTACTAGAGACAACCACTTGAAAGTTTGGTCCTTTTAGAATTATAAATTTCTGTGAATTTGTACCCATGTATAGGTATATGGCTATATCTTTGTTTTAATGGACTATTACTCTTCATTCAGCAAGTAAAATTTAGATCCTGAAAAATCAGGTAATTAACCTTTCATATAATCTGGGAAAGTAACCTTCAAATGAAACTATTTTGCCTCTTTTTGTTCTTTATATAAACAAAAAAGGGCCAAAATGAGTCCAAACACTGAGAAACCTGACATTAGACACAGCATGTACTATTACATGTAGCCACATGGATGTATCTCAGAAATATAATGGTAAGAGATGGCAAATACATGTTTATGAGTACAAGGAAATGTTTAAGATAAAAGTCAGAATAGTAGTAATTGGAAGGAAGGATTTACAAATGTGAACAGACTCATAAATGCCTCTGGGGTAACTGGAAGTTTTCTACTTCTAGACCTGGGTGATTATCACATAAATGTTACTTTAAAATATTTAATTTTACACCGGTTTTATGCATTTTCCTGTGCATATTTTACCAGTAATGCCTTTCAAAAAAGTTAATGAACAGATTAATAGCAGATTAGACATACATGAGGAATTAGGGAACTAAGAGTACCTACAAAGCATCACACAAATGAAAAAATGGAAAATATGAAATAGTTTAGAAGACGTGGAGAATATGAAAATGCTCATAATAGCAATGTTTTCCAACATAATAGAAAAACATCTTCGGGGCTGGGGATGTGGCTCAAGCAGTAGTGCGCTTGCCTGCGCTTGCCTGGCATGCGTGCGGCCCGGGTTCGATCCTCAGCACCACATACCAACCAAGATGTTGTGTCCGCCGAGAAATAAAAAATATTAAAAAAAAAAAATGAAAATCATCTTGAAGAAGTGTGATGGTTAATCTTGGTTGTCACTTCTGAGTGTGTCTATGAGAGGGTTTCCAGAGAAGATTGAAGTGTGGGTCAGTGAACTAACTAGGGGAGACCCACCCGGAGTGTGGCAGAACATCCAATAGGCTGGGAGCCTGCATGGAATTGAAAATGCAGAAGGGGAAACTTGTTCCCTGCTCTGATGCATGGTCATCTGTAAGTACACATTTTAGATAAAAGGGACATAGGATTGGCTTTAAGTAAGGGGATTACATAAATTTCATGTTTCCTTTTTTAAAATATTTATTTAGTTGTAGTTGGGACACAATACCTTTATTTATTTATGTTTGGTGCCAAGAATCGAACCCAGGGCCTTGCATGTGCTAGGCAAGCACTGTACCACTAAGCCACAATCCCAGCCCCTTGTTTGTTTCCTTTTAAAATGACTTGTATAAGGATGCCTTTTAAGGCTGCATTTATCAACATGTCAGGTTCTGGGATATGTGCATTATTTTAACCTCACAACCAACTTCTGACACAAGAACTAAAAAGACCTGGTCTTTATTACCATTATGAAATGGATTTAAAGATAAAAATCAAGACAGTCTAAAACAAGATTTAAAAACTTCACATTTATGTATAAATTGTTTTTTAACTTCCACTAATTTAACTACTGAAGGACGAACAAAACAGAAATCTAGAAATAAGCCAACAATATTTGGAAAATTGACCCGTTTTAATCATTTAAAAACAATACAACACAACATCAAATTTCCCTTATCATCTACAATTCAGTTATATCCAAACATTCTAAGACCAACAGTCCTCTGCCCAGAAGCAGGGGATCACAGGGGATGCTGAAGACACACGAAGGTGAATGCTGAAGATCAGAGTTCCAGTGGTAGCTCATGAGTCTTCTGTTCAAACACACTCCAAAGTTTGCCTTTTAGTTTGTTACAGACGGAATTTTATGGGAAGTTCTTTGAAATAATTTCATTCCAGACACCAGATTTCTTCAATGATAGATGCATAAAATTTGTGTTTCTGATAGGAATAAAAAGTAACTCTTACTTTTGCCCCTTTTTTGGTGACACAGAGGAGTAAAACTATCAGATTCCTTTTAAAAATGAAGAAAAGAAAAATTCTGGGCTGTGCTGGGTCCTGGTTTCTTCTCGTCTGAGCATGTGACTTCAGAAGAGTTAAATCACACTTATGCCACTACGATGATTAGTACTATTTTTTTTTTTAGATGATAAAAAAAGAAAATACCCAATAGACATAAAAATGGTCAAAAGGTTTTTTACCGCAGGTCAATTTTTGCTGCCCCCACCCCAAAAGGTACAAAATGAACATATAATTGGGATGGTAACTCCACTGGCTATTCCAATTTACCCATCTGCTCGCCCCCATACAGGTTTAGGGGACTAGCAGTAGGTTTTCTTAGTAATATAATCATGGTAACTAGCTGTGTTCGTGGCAGTTTATTTGAGGTCCACTGATCCTTTCAATATATGTAGGGAAGCAAGGCTATGCTTCTCCAACTGCCGACATCTGAACACATTCAGCTACCATGGAAACTACGAAGGAAGGAAAAATATATTTATTCCAAGATCCATTTACTGGGAATTTAAAGCGCCCTTTCTTCCATGGAGCCCCAGAATGCTGGCAATGTGCTAGGGGCTGCTGTGTTTTCCAGCATGTGCTCCCATCCTCTGAGGGTCTTGAGAAGGATAGTGGATTGGTCCTGGAGCTCTCATGAAAGGAGGGGGTGGTCCCATTGGGTGGAACATGTGTGGCCCAAAACCTGTACATGGGAGAGAATAAATTTGTTAGGTTTGTTGTTCCTTTGACAACCTTTCATATTTTTGAATCTTCCTAAGATCAAAACTACCTACATATAAATCAAAGCTGACATGGGCTTAAATGAACATCACTCCATCAGACTTGCTTAGGGAATATCTACGTGTATTATTTCCTTGGTTTTAAAACGTTTCCCCTCAGTCCAGAATACTCCTCAGGACTCAAGGCTTCTGCTAGCATATCATGTGAACCTCTGCTATGTATCAAACATGCCAGATCCTACCAAACAAGACTCATTCAGGATGTGGGAAGTGAACAAGAAATCAGGCCAATGGCAAGACCCTGTCATCATTAACTTCAATGCTTGTTACCAGGATGAAAGGTGTTCAGACACCACTTTAAAGATATGTGCTCTCTGCCACAGAATTGGCCACATGGGATTTGCTTACATTGTTCATACTGTCACTGACATTTTCTAGAGCAGTGCGCTATACAAAGTGCTAGTTCTCTAAATTGTTTATTACTACCTTGGACAAGATAAAGATGTGGAGCCAAAATGTAACTCAATTACATGATCAAGTATGCTGCTTATGAATGATCTTTTTTTTGGAATGAGACTTTCTAATGAAAAAAAGTGGCTCATTGCTTTACATCCTGGCACAAGCTAAAGACCTTACTGTAGATAGTTAATACTTTGTGAAATGACAATCAAGAGCAGCCCATACTTTGAGCAACAGTGCTACAGGGGCATCAGTTAGGATTTAGTTCAGAACAGATAACAAATTAGTGGTAGATCACCGTAATCCCAGTAATTCCTATCTTGATAACACATATATTCAAATTTTCAGAAAACTGGTGCTTTTCCTCTCCTTGGCAGGCTAGGAAAAAAATGAAATATTAGAACTCTCAACCTATCAGCATTACCTATAAACTTTTTCAGGGTAAATGCAAAGGATTTAGCTGTCTTAGACATGGTGGTGAGGTGTTGGACTTTCACAGAACTTCTGGGAAGGAAGAAGGAAGTTACCTGGGGGTGGGGGTGGGGCAATCCCAGGGGGTGGTGGCAGGGCGATGTTTACCACCGCGGGAGGACCACTTGGAGGGAGGTTGAAGTAGTTGGCAGAGGCTTCCTCTTCTGCTGCAGGAGGAGGAGGAAGAGCTGGAGAAGAGAAAACAGGCAACACTCAGAAGGGAAGACAATTGGCAACACTGCTTCTATCACCTTAATGTCCTCAAAAGGGCTCTCTACAAGTGAGAGTTGCTGTAGGAGCCAAACAAGCTTCTCTTCTAATACAGGAACATTGGGCAAATAGCTTCAGTGGTTAGCACAAGTCTGCACTTACCTCCTGGGAGTCCTGGAACTGGCTCCAGTTTGATCCCAGAGTCTGTGGTTCCATCCTTCTCTTTTTCTTTTCCTCTGGCTGCCTGGGATCTGGGAGATATGCACGCACACAGGACATTAGCACCTTGTCCCACCTTCTCTCATACCTCTGCTTGTCAAGTTCCCCAGTCAAATGGAGTTCCTTCACTCCTTGCCTCCTCTTCAGCAAGCAGTCTTCCCATAAATACCAAAGTGCAGAGTGGATAAGAGCGATGGTTTTGAAGGCAGAAAGATCTGGGTTCAAAACTTTTTAGAACCACTGTTTGCCAGGTTTTTGTTCTCGAGACTAAAAGGCTCAGGGGTCAATCCAGTTGAACTGGGCTAACTGGGCTGCGCAAAATAACCACACAAGAGATACAAATACTTTTTTCTTTGGGGTCGCTGTGACAGCTCCTCTGACCTTAAGGGTTCGCAGAAGAGAGAGCGAGAGCATGTGCTGATCCCTTTTATTGAGGAGAATCTATTCAAATGAGGCAAGGCGTCAGGTTTCAGGGGGCTGAGTCTATCTTCATGATGTTAACTGTCAGCAGGTTGACTGACATCTGGGTAGGCCACATCCAGGGGCATAGTAAGAGAATGGGACACACTCAGGCACTTCCATGGAAGATTCCACCCTATAAACAGGGCAAGGGGTTATATTACAAAGGAACAGGTGAGCATAGCTTCACCCATGGGGCTGTAGGAAGACATAGTCACTCGAACCCTAGAAGAGCAGGGCAGTATAGCAGCATGGGTGCCTGACGCCACATCGCTCAGCAGGGGAGTTAACTCAGTCACATATGAGGTTGGTCTCCCACAACATGTATGTGTTTGGCAAAGTGCTTAGCACATAAGAGCTGTTGCTATTAGTCACCTCCTCCTTGGTTCCAAGCTAGAAGTAAGTTCTCCCTCTGAACTTAAAATTCAGAGTGTTTTATCTGTATCTCTTACACAATTACTGTGTCTTTCTTATGTAACCATCACTTTCAAACTTAAAATAGATATTCTTCTGTTTTATCTTCTCCCCCAGTTTCTGAAGTAGAATCTAGGTCTATAGATTCTATAAACCCTTGAATCAATCTATCTTTTATGCCTAGGCAATATAATTGGTCTATGATAGGTGGTCAAAAAAATATGAACCTTCACAGAGGCAGATTACTAACAGCAAAACCCTGAATACATTTCCAAAGCAGAACTCTTCTAACACCCCATGGGAATTAGAGAATGACCTTCTTAAGATCTTTCTAAAGATCCTGTTGATTAAAGCCTATTTACCAAAAGCTTACTACTTTCCAAATAATGAAATAATTTATTAAAAGATTCAATATAGCCAAGTGCGGTGGTGCATGCCTGTAATCCTAGTGACTCTGGAGGCTGAGGCAGGAGGATCACAAGTAGTTCAAAGCCAGCCTCAGCAACTTAGCGAGACCCTAAGCAACTGAGCAAGGCCCTACAACTAAAACCCTATCTCTAAATAAAATGTAAAATGGGCTGAGGCTGGGGATGTGGCTCAGTGGTTAAGCACAGGGGTTCAATTCTCGGTACCAAAAGGAAAAAAGTCTCAATATATAGTCCATTCTTACCTTCCCCATTTCACATTGAGTCTGCGTCCATTGACAATCAACTTATTAAAGGACTTCTCAGCAGCCACTTCTGCAGCCTGCCTTGTGGCAAACTGGATGAAAGCACACTGCTGTCTCTGTACAACCGTGATTGTTCGAATCTCTCCGAACTGGTAGAAATGATTTCTGAAGGGACACAGGCAGAAAGAGAAAGGTCAACAAAACAGACGTGCCCACTAGATTGACCATGGATATGAAATCTTTCTCTGACTCACCACTAGGCAGGTGGGCCCCATGATTATGTACCTAACTACTTGCAGCTGTTTCCCCTTCATATCTTGCCTTTCTGTAATTGCAGATTACTAAGATGGGGGGAAAAAGAATAAGCAGGGTTCTCAAACATCTCAGTGTTGTTCCCATGGAAGAAAGGGGGCTCTAATAAATTCCTTAAGGACCCTAAGCCCTACATACAATGTTGACAAAGTACAGTGCTCATGGCCCATGAACCAAGAATGGTTTTTTTCTTTTCAGAAAGTTGAAAGGGAAAATAGAAGAGAGAAAGACTGTATGAGGCCCACAAAGTCTAAAAATATTCACTCTCTAGCCTTTCATAGAAAGTCTGCCAACCCCTGGGGATTATCTAGTTCACTAAGATAGGGTTTAATGGAGACAGGCTATCAAGGGCAGGTTATAAACTTACAGGAGTTTCTTCTCCACTTTATCTCTTTGGAAGAGGTAATTTCCATTACTATCTGCCCAGATGTCTCATCTAGCCAAGCATAATACAAGCCAAAAATAACACAAATTTATGAAATACCAGTCTCTCTTAAAAAAGCCAACAATTTAAACCATAAGAGTTTTAGAATCACAAAGCTCTCCCTCCCCTATGTAACTGATCATACTTGGAAGTGTGCCATTCTTTAAAAATTCTAATCAGCTATTAGGTTCCATGTAATTATTATCATATATAAGGATAGATAAGCACTCCTGATGAACATTACAAATTCCTCTGGCTTCATAAAAGATAATTTTATAAAAATTTGAGTCAGCATGATACTAACTACAGAACAGTTAAAAAAAAGTACTTTATATAGATGATCATTCTTGTGTTTTTGCAAATAAATAATTTCAAGGCAGTTAAAAGCAAAATAGTTTTTAAAATTATACCCACAAACCTGAGATCTGTCTCAGTAATAGTATCGCCCAGACCACCAACGTATAGTGTGGTGATAGTTTTATCCTCCGGTGGGTCCAGACGAGGCATTGTTGAAGCCCGCTTGAGAAGCTTATCTGCTACAGGGTCATTGATTCCATAATACCGATCTTTAATATTCTGATCAGCAAGGGGGTCATCTGGATCTGTAGGCTTCTCATGTCTATGAGAAAAAAATAATGCATATAAAGGTGAAAAAATGCAGATATTACCCAATAATAACTACATAGTAAAGTCCTATGCCTTTTGAACTAGAAAGCAAGGCCATACCAAAATATAATTATCAAACAGAGTTGATACCAAGGGTTTTAGTCTATCAGTCTTTCCCAGTCTCCTAAAATCCATTTTAATGGTCATTTAGGGTGTGAGACTTTCCTTATAAATACTCTTGGCACAATTCATCTCAAAATAAAAAGGGGCAAGTGATCACCCCTTTCTATGTCAATGGTTCTTAACATATTTGAGGTCTTGTATCTACTGAGAATCTGAAGAAAGCTAGGGACTTAGCCCCAGAAAAAATGGCTTGCTTAATTTTTAGGGGAGTGGAGTTAAT